GCCGCTCGCGCCGCGCCAGCTCTGTGCTCACGCGGTCCAGCGCGGAGCGGCGCGCGCTGTGGGAGGCATTGAGCTCGGACAATGTGCGCCTGCAGCGGCGGGGTTGTGCGGCCGCCGGCCGCGGTAGGAGGTGGTATGGTGCGATGCAGGTCCGGTTCAAAACTAGAGGCGGCTGTCAGTTGTGGGGCAAAAGAGGTGCAGGGACCTCCAGTTCCAGGCTGGGCAGAGACCACCTCCACCACCATCCTAACCACCCGGCCAAAAGCCCCGCACTCAGCCGCAGCGGTCGCACATGCAAATGCCAGCCTAAGGCACAACCGGTCGCTGCGCACGCCCCTCCCGTCCCTGTGCGCCCTCCGCTCACTTTGCCTCAGCCATGTCCCGCTGCCACTCCTCCCTGAGCGCGTCCAGCCCCCTGCCCTCCGACCCCACAGCTTCCAGCAGCTGCTTCAGCGCCGCGAGTACGTGCGCCTTGGCGCGCCGCCGCTTCCCACGGCGCCGGCCGCTGCCATCCGTGCCAGCGCCGCCCGCCGCTTCGCCGCTTGCCTTGCGCTTGTGGCCACCTCCGGCGCCAGCTGCGCGACGGCCACCGCCGTAGTCGCTGTCGCTGTCGCTGTCCGCCCCCTCCTCATCATCGTCGTCGCCGCTGCCGCTGGGATCGTAGTCCGAGCCGCCGTCGCTGTCGTCCCCCGAGCCGTCTTGATCCTCAGAATCCTGATTGTTGCGGGTGAGCGGCGGTGGCGCTTGAACACATTCCTGAATGGGTGGCGGGCCCCGCATGCTCTTGGGCATGCCGGGGCCTCAGACACACTTCCTCCGAGCCTCGCCCTGCAGAGCCCCTTGTTCTCAGCCCGCTGCAGGCACACGAGCAGGGCAAGACGTCCAGGCGGCAACTTGACACCAAGAAACAGCATCCTCAGCACGCCCCAGATGACGCCCCATAGCCCGTTCAATCAAGCCCCACCTCATCATCCGCGATAAAGTCGCCGCTGCCGCCCTGGGCCCCGCGCTTGCCACCGCCCTTGGCGCCGTCCTTGCTGCGCTGCACCGCCATCCACTCCTCGTCTATGGCCTGCGCCGCGTCGGGCGCGGGCCCCCGCCG